GCCAGTCGGGTGTTCTAGCGCCTTGGGGATGTGACTGCAGTTGCAGCCCCCGGGCTTCGTAGGCACCTTCCCTCCACTAGCGACTTGGGCGTTAACTATCAGTAACAAGACGTTCTTAGTATTGTTAAAGGTGATGTGGTTCATGTTAGATGTACCTTTCTATCCTTTCGACTAATCTCTCCAAGTGAGCATGCGTTGCCAGTAGGCCTTGATGTGCATTGACCAGGTAGGCGAGGTATGGAGTGCGTGCCTTGTACTCCTCCTCTAAGGATTCTAACAGTTTAGCAAAGCTGTGGTGGGAGAACAAAACATCAGCATGCCTTCGCAAAACACTTTTAAAAATCATTTTCTACAGCATTCAAAAGCATTTAAAGATCTCATTGTAAGTGACCTTGTGTCCAACCATTGTTAGATTGATCAGATTTTAAAGCTGGTTTTCTCGTGTGCATAAGAACAAGCATAAGCCATCATATGCAGTCACAGCAAGACGTTGACAATTAGCACCTTTAGTTAGGAAGTTTTCCTTCCAAAGGTGCTACTTAGCAGCACTCCACTGTATCTAAGTATGTTTCTTATGCTTGTGCTTATTTGCTAGTGAAAACTAGCCATCAGGAACCAATTTCCCTTGAATAAATTTAAAAAAATTACCAACGGTTTAGCAAGAAGAGGGAAAGGCAATGGAAGAAGAGGAAAGAGAGAGAAGAAATTACATGCAATAAGACTGACAATGACAACAACAACAACAACAACAAAAGCAATAAAGTTGCCCTGATTTTTAAATGAACTCATGAAAGCTGGAGGTCATAACAGGTGCTTTGTTTTGTGCTACATGTGCTGGGGGAGTACAAGCATTGTATTTCTGGATTTTTGGAGAATAAGAAACGATGACGTGTTTTGTAAGTTCACAACTAGTATATCCAAAGTTGACATAACAACGAAATCCAAACAAACACACGTCTCAAAGCTAGGCTGATCACTAAGAACTTCTTATTCACTGATTAGAAAAGATACATCATTGTTGATATTGAAGTGTAGGCCAAAAGCAGAAATGTTCGATTATTAATTTATCAGAATCTGTACCTTCCAGGTTGGAGGTCTTTGACACTTCTTATTGTCTCGTGTAACTGAGCAGACAGGGATCTGTCCTGAAGATTAATTGCCTCAGCAAGTTGCACATGGAGGAATGTAAGCAGCTCCCCGCCAGGTTTTTTGGCATATGCCCTTAAAAAATGACGTATAACAATTTATCATTATTTGTGGATCTGAAGATGGCAGCCTGTAATGCTGAATTAAGGATGGTGCCTACTTTTGTTAGTGCGCATATTTTCTGCGTATCACGCAAGGCATGGTTTAAGTGCCATGCGCGCGCGCTGGGGTTGACATTGACGCAATCAACTACACTACCAAGTACACGACTCAAAGAAAGCAAAATTTTCGTACTGTGACCAAATCAAGTTTAATGAACCTGTACTCAAACCAGGAACACCAAAATAGCAGCATATCACCAACCACTAACTGTTAATGTCTTCCAGCTGAAAAACTAGCTGTTATCTGGCGAAAATTATACTGAAATCCAACTGCAAACAAGTACCTGCAGATGGCGTAGTGCGTGCGCAAAACAAGTGTGAAAGACGCAAATGTTTTACTTACTGGGGAAGCGACAGGAAAAAATGTAATGTGCACTATAAAAGTTTTCACAAAAAGATCAATAACTTTAAAAAACGCGTGGTTACCCCCACATTTTATGTTATGAAATGGAAGTGGAAAGCCTATTCAACACGTAATCAGTTTCTGGTTGTGACCAAAAGGTATTTAGACTGTATTTTGGCTGAACCAGAGGAAGGCTGTCAGAGACGCTAAAAGCACTGTTGCAACGATTTTGTTATTAAAAACATACCAAATATGGTTTTCATGTTACCATTTACCATGTAGTTTTAAGACCTTTATAAATGTGTTTGCTTTTCTGTTTGTAAAGGTGATTTTGAAGGAAATTTGTGAAGAAATATCCTTTCCTTCTTTTTTCAGAAAATGCTGATGTCAGCATTTTTGTTAAGATTCAAGGCTGATTATCTGGAAAAAATGCGTGGCTTCCCCAATTTTTCTTTGTGGATTCCAATGGCCCTTGCAAAGATTTACTTTTTCGGTGTTGTCCTAACCCAGCACAAAAACCTTTGTATTTAGTAGGCACCATCCTTAAGACAATAAAAAGTTATGTTTTTTTCTCCTTTTCAATGACTGAGGCCACAGATTACTGTTGCTGCCTACACAGGTTTGGTTCCAGGAAATATCTGTTGCAGTTTAAAATTGACTTGTAGGTCAAAATAACCTCAATCATGTTTGACAAGTGCATTTTACCTTGTTCAGATTTCTTACCATAATCCTAAGAAAAACAAAATACAGATCAAACTACAATTTCTGTGAAATTAAACTGGAATCAAACATAAAAACTCACTAGGTATAGATACATGTATCTTTTTGGGAACAGCACAACATATCTTAAGCCTAAGAACCAATAGTTATATTTTATAGAGATAAACAAAGAAAAAAAAGGTGGTTTCACATAATCGTAGGAGTGCTCGATACAGATACATGTAGAGGGAAGTATGAATTAAGAGAGAAATTTCAGTTACTCAAGTTTCATGGTTGAAGCATGTCTGATAATTGCTTCAAGAGTGAAACACAAGTAACTGTAATTTCCATCTTAATTTGTATTTTATGGAGAAATAAATTTCTGTTTTTAGTGTGGTATCTACCTTTTTTCTGGCAATCTATTGTCAGGATGAAGCAGTGGAAGATTCTGGAAGTCAGCTTGACAGAGCACCAGTCTAAGTTTCCTCTTAGAGTTTTCAAACTTCTCATCTTCATCAACAACATCGTCATCTTCCTCACTTTGGTCATTATCGTTTTCATCTTGAACTTCATCCAATTTACTTTCTCCACCTTGAGCATGTGCCTTGTTCTTGTATTTTTCTAATATTTTATCAAGGTCTGATACAATGTCTGTTAAGAGAGAAACAAAGGTGGAAAAAAGTTACAAGATGGGCAGGGTTATAGTAGGTCTACTACCTTAAGAGGGCAATGCTAACAAGAACATTTTCTTTTTTTATGTCATTGTGAAAGTGATTATCGTACAAGTGGATGTTAAGCTCCACTCTGTCCCCCTAAAAAAACAGGATTCAAACTAGTCATCATTGTGAATGCCTTAGCTCTCGCATAACTGTCTAAGTATAGTAAGTAATATGTACTTTATCAACTTCGAAAAGTAGGTACTACAATTGTGGACAAAAGTCCTTGGGACACTTAAGTAATGTAACCAATTATCTGTGTTTTAGAACTACAGTTTGAAAAAAATGCTTCTATATCCTTTTACAATGTGTTGCTGTTCCCCCTCCCCACCCAACACAATGTTGAAAATCAGAAGAAATTGCAGGTGCTAGTTTTCAACATTGTATGGGGGGTGGGGGGTGAGGTTAGGCAGGTGAAGAAGTTGTATTCACGTCTGGCATGTGCGCAAGTGCCAAAAGTGTAAATTTGTCCCAAGACTTTTGTCCATGATTGTAGATACAATAGACCAATGGGAGAGGGTCAGAAGTGAGTTCAATGTTGCCATCGATCAGTTAGAAGAAACAAATCACATGAAAGGAAGGCATAGTGGTCAGGCTACTTGCCTCTCATTGATGTACATAATTTATAGAACTGATTCAAATCCTGATTCTCCTATGTGTCATGAGAGGCTTGAGTTTGTTGTTGGTTGTCATTCTTGCCCCAGAGGATTTTCTCTGGGTTCTATGGTTTTCTCTTATCAATAAACACCAACCAATCTAACTGTCTTGAATGGCCCTCCAACTCTAGATCAATTAGAAGTATTCTTATTGATCCACAATTGAAGGGCCACACATTTGTCAAAACAACAACACATAAGACATTTACATTATAAGCAATACCACCATGAAACAACATTAATTTATTCTATTCTTATTGTGAGACTAAAATAATAGTACCTTTGGGTGTTTTTTCCTCCACCTCAGGGTGTGCCATCCTGTCAGTGATATCAAAAGCATCAAGTGTTTTCTCTGCCAATTCCTTGTACACTTTTGATCCACTTGCCTTCATCTTGTCTTTAGAGAGTCCTGTCCTGATCATTCCAAAGAATCCTTTCTCTTTCTTCCCACTTTGCTCGTCATTCAGATTATCCTCACCATCAAAAGAACCCTTTCCTTTGGTCTTTTTCCTCCCTCTGAAATGCCGTCTTAATGAAGATCCACGAGAGGGCTTCTTCTCTCTAGGTGGCCACTCATGTTCATCATCAGCTGTACTAGAAGATCCACTTCGAGGTGGAAACTCTGCATCGAAACTCAAGAAGCTTGCTTGGCTGTCACGGTTGGAACCCTCTCCTTGAAAGCCAGTGATTGTTCCACTACTTGTGCTTCCACGACTGCTAAGCTTACTTTGTCTTTTTTCCTGGTCATTTATAACACTTGTGCGCTTTCTAAAATTATCATCAGGTGCAGCTAAGTGTTCAAGGCCAGAGAGATCCGATTCAGAACCCTCTTCTGCAATATCACCATGGCCACTGTCAACTACGATGCAATCTTTAGTGAATTCAATTCCACTGCTCCGAGTGCTTGTACTACTGATGCAGCTTGTACGTGTGCTGCCACCACTACTAATGGCACTGTCTCGGTTTCCAGCCACCTGGTGATCAAAGGCAATGGGTGACTGTCTCTTCACAGCTTGGTTATCAATTGCATCTCCAGGAACTGAAGGGAGAGGAGGTGGACTGTCACTTCCAAAATCAATTAGATCAACATTGTCAGGGTGTCCAATTTCTGCATTTCCTTTTGCTTCAACATCTTGTGTTGCATGCGTACATGTATTTGTCTCTGAATTGCTGTGTAGGAAATCAATGCAATCTGTTCCAGGTGTAACCTCTTTATCAAGTCCTATTTAATCAGCAATGTGATCACCATGACTTGAATCAATGTCACATGTAGCTGGCTGAAGATTACCAGGATCAGTTGTTGGATCATTACCTACAAAACACAAACCACATCTTGTTTTGCCAAAGAAGTCAATAAACCTGTTTACTAGCGTGAAGTGCTGTTATTTCCTTAATACATCAGAACAATTCTTTTGTCACTAAGTTTGGAAGATCTTTGACTTTCAACAATGAACAGCAATCTTTATTGATATAGAAGTCAATAACCCCAACAAAAACTTTGGAAAGTCTAATGTTCAATTTGCTTTCCTATTGACATTCATGTGTTTTGAAAAGTCAGTTCCATCCTTTAACAAAAAACCATGTAAACCCACAAATGATACATGGGGTGTTTGTGTGATTAGAACCCACTGAAAAACCCATACAAGTGCTCGAAATGACAGTTTTTCATTGGATATTGACCAAACAAATTTGTGAAACTGGGCGTCTTATTTTACATTATGATCAGACATCATGGTTGAGTACTAAAATGACTTAAAGCCCACTTATTACTTCATGACTTGTACAGCTAGGGATTGAGCAATCAGATTATTTGCATTTAAAAAATTAGAGACTTGAAAAGACAGACATCCTACTACGTAATAACAGTTATTGTTTCCAGCATTGTGTACTAACATAAGTAGGGTCCTTCCCAGTTTATACTTTTACTAGTTAGAGGAGAACTTTCCATAGAAGTTAAGAGACTGGATCCAAAGAGTAACACATCATGAATGTCAAGATCACACTGACCATTTTGTGTGTCTTCATCACTGCTTTTATCATTAGAATGATCTTCCTTTGTCACTGGCTTTTCAGGAAAAAGGTGCTTATAGAACGTGGAAGAGCTACTTCTTGGTCTGAAACTTTTGCTAGAATCTGCCTCATTCTTTGGCTTTTTGATGCCAAGTACCTACAGATCAACAAAAATGACTTTCATTATTCAATTTATCATAATCATACATTAACGAGAATGGTCTGCTCTTTGATCTGCAGAAATAACTCAGACTGTCACTGAGTAGGCTGTCTAAGTACTTGGTATTCTTAACTTATGGCAAAACAAAAAGGAAGGAAATAGAAGATTTTCTTGTAGCTTGACTACTCCAACAGAGTTGTCTGAGCCTAGACATCAACATTTCCATATTGGTCGAATTCTGTGTAGTATGGTTGGTTTTAAGAACCAGACAGCCTGGGACAAGCTTGGATCATAATTTGCTCAAGATTTATCAAACTTGTGATTTACCATGTGCATCTACACAGCCAGCCAAACTGTGGACTGAGCTGGGACTGTGGCCATCAAGGTATTCAAGAAAGTGATTAGCACCATTCTAACAATGGGACGGAGCAACGTTATCACTGGTTATCAAAACAAAATTATGCAGGATACTGCTTGAGCAGATCAAGATAGGTGTAGACAAAAAGCTTCTAAAGGAGCAGACTGGATTTGGACCAAAGAGAAGTATGACAGGGTAAATCTTTATACTGAGAAACATCTTATAACAGGTGACTGAATGCAGGGCAGGCCTGTACACGTACTTTTAAAAGGCCTTTGATTCGGTCCTCAGAGTAATATTCAAAAATAGAAAACATGTTTGTTTTAAGCAACTGTTTGACAGTACTGGGGTGGATCCCAGAAGGTTGCAGGGCAAGACACAACATCACTTGAAAAAGGACTGTTGAGAAAGAAAAGATTACAAGGCATGGTAGATGACTTGAAAAATGGGAAAAGTGGTGGCACAGAACCTAGAGTGTTGGGTTGACAACATGTCAGTCTTGTGCACCTACTGGCATAAAGAGATGCGATGATGATCTCATTGCTAGACCAGATGATGCTTCTTGTTAAATTTTATTTCCATGAGAGTCGAAGTCATCATTAAAGCCGTTGAGTAATGCTTAAAATACATGTCTGTTTTAAGTGTGAACCAGTTTGGTATGCTCCAAATGCTGAGTGAATGAAGATGACTATAGGTAATGTAGAAGCTAACCACAGATGCAGTCTCCCTTTTCTTTAGAAACAAGTTGAAGGGTTCTGCATGCAAGGCCATGATCACCATCAATAAATGCACATCAAATAAATTTAATTACTGTACCTTTTCCTCAGACTCCATGCCAGGACATTCAATTGCAGAATAACCCAGAGAAATCACTAAAACATCTTCATCCTCCTGCAACATCAGTGGTATTCTTCTGAGAAACTCCATTTTGAACTCCTCTGATTTGCTGACAACCGCTAAAGGATTAAACTGCTTGATCACCTTAGCTGGTTCAATTTCTGTGGATTGAGCCTCACCCAGACTTTGCTTGCGAGGTTCCTTTTCTTTCTTGCCTTTAAAGGGGCGTCGTTTTTTGGGTGTTTTTGGACTACCTGTTTGAGAATCAAGGTTGGAAGGTGCAGGACAAACATCTTTTGACACCTCCGGGGTTGAGGGTTCTGGGGGGTCAGGTTGGGGTGGCAGGTTATCCAGTAACTCTTTTAATTCTTTATTGTTGACAATGTCTCTGTGATCTTCACTGTGATCAACCATCCTTAGAAAGCTTGTCTATTGAAAGGAAACAAAAGAATGCACTGGTTTGAAAAGAATAATGACAAACAAAGGTATATGTATATTGGGTGTATAATTAAGTATACGATTTTCCAGTAGGGACTAGTCTAGGAGAAGACTACTCTAGGTAACTTAGAAAAAAGGCCCATGTTTAAGTCAAATGTGTGAATGATAATGCTGTATAACTAATTTATAAAACGATCTGATGGCAGAGCTCCAGACTCATTCTTGCAGCAATGTTAAATAACAAGAGCTCACTTCAGGGCTATTAGCAACTGTCATTTCAAAACCTCGAGCTGCGCAGTGTTGCTTTAAACTTCAGATTTAAGAAACCTACTATTCCTGTTAACAAAGCCTATGTTACTAGCAATGCTACTGAATGATAAGGCTAACTCTTATCTGCACAACGACACCTAACAAACAAAATGATACATGTACTCCTGAGTGTGTCTACAAGACACCAAAAGTTATACACGTCAAGTTTTTAAGGAGTGGGAGTAGAACTTACAATAATGTGATACAGTTAAGGGAAATGATAGATCTCACTCTTAAACTCCTCAAGAAATCCACATGCCTGCTGAGGTAAACTTCGGATAGAAGGATTGTTAGCAGCCAGTGGCATGAAGTTGAACCATTTGCCACCAGCATGACAAACTTTGAACTCAGTCAGTAAAAGGACAACAAAACAAAAACAGATAATCCTAATCCTGATACTAGAGATTTAACGTAAATGACCACAGGTCAAGAGATTTTGTCTGTGAATACTTACCAAGGAGTGCAGCTCATTTTCAGTTATAAGAACTGAGTTACGGCAAAGGCCAGGAAGTGACTGCTGGATTGGAACATCTGAAATTTCTTCCTGGCTTTGTAATATGGCATCTAAAAACGATGCCACACAATGCTGAAAAGAAAAAGTAAAAATAGTTGAAACTTGGAAATATCCAACTTTGAATTATATTGCTATATTTCAAATACAAGTTTTCAAGCTACTGTTTTCTACTTAGGAAGAAAGGAACAATTTTTGAACAGTTAGATAGGTATTTGAATCTGTATTGAATTGAAGTACATATGGAATATAAATCAACTGTCCACCTCTCCTGTCCTCTGCAATTTCATGGGTCTTTGATCATGACTCCCCCTCCCTGTCACAACACACTCTCCCCTCTGGGGTGGGGTATGGATATTTTCCAAAACCACACAGATATATAATACTAAGCCATCCACAAGACCCTGAAAGTTATGACATTGCTCAGAGGTGGTGATGGGGGGGAGGCGGGGGGCAGGGAGATACACTGCTTCATGTATTTGATGTTTTCCAAATGAAGGAGCTACAAACCTTCAGCATCAGCAAGAAAGTAGAACAGAGGTTCAATGTCACACCACTCCCCTATTAAACGTGCCATGTCCCACCAATTTCCTCACCTGGCGTGTTATTTATTTTCATATTTACTCGGAGTACTTACTGTATCAATTCTCGAAAACATGTGCGATGATCTTGGGTTTTTATCACCTTCAGAGAAACAACAATTGAGCAAACAAGAAGCTATCTGCTGTAAGTTCTGGGAGGCTATTTCACTGATTTGTACATCAGAGGTGATGCCAAACTGTTCGGGCCTTATTATGGCCGGACACACAAGGAAATCAAACAATAATTTCAACACCATCGAGCGCACGTCCTTGTCGTTGACATTACCAGTTGAAGAAAGAAGTTTCGAAAATTGACACACTAACCAGCGTAAACTTTGAGGGAAGCAGTAGAGTTTCGCTTTCAGGCTTTCAACAAATTTAGTACACTTTAGAGGCAGTCTCTTTTTAAGCAGTGAATCCTCCGAAAGAACTTGCATTATAGGAGCGTGCAATGCCGCTGTCAAATACAACTTCGCAGAGAACAAGCTCTCCACTAAAATCTCGAACAACGACGTAAACGAATTCCTTTTATGCTTAAAGAATTCTCCAGGCTGCTCGTCTCCTGTGATTTTCAGCTCAATGAGGTGCTTCATTAGCAGCAAAACGTAACTCTCGTCTTGCGGAAGCAAACAGTTTCCATACAGAGAATTCAACAACAGACGAATCAGCTGAGAGGTGTCCAAATTGACTTTGTCTGCATATGTCAAAGTCGACGCCACTAGGGCAGGATTCTCCCTTAGTCCTTTCAGAAATTCCCAGTACTTTGACTCTAAGTAGCCAAGGTGTCTAGAAGCGTCAACAAAGCGGGCAGAATCCAACCTGTTCACCGCCTGGCTGCAATCTTCAGGTGAAGCCCGTACTCTTTGTACAATTTTCCACTGTTGCCGGGTAATCCATGACAAGTGATAAAGTCTTTCGCAGCTCGACTGTATCTCTATGTTTAGATTAGATATTTCAGTTTTTTCTTTGTTGACAAACAGCCGTTCTTGCTTTAAACGTTCCTGAAGATACCATAGGCGACTCCAACATGAAGTTTGATCGTCCGCCATGTCTGCTTCATTTCTGCATCTTTAGACAGTGCCTATAGGTAGCCAATCACAAAGCGTTTCATATGTATTGGATCGAGCGTTTTCATTGGTTGACAGTTACTATGAAATTTCCGCCTTTTCTAATCACCTTGATCACTGCCACTTGATCCATTTAATTAATTTGATATAGCCGTAACCTTAAGAAGAAGGGTGTAACATTTGCGATGAAATAACTTATTTTATAGGAGCTTAAAAGTTTTTGTGCCAATGTCAACAGATAAATATGACACTTAAGACTTCATCTATCGATAGTCGAGTCCCATCTCTTTCCAGGGTGGAAAAAAGTCTGATGTAAAACATCGGCCGATTCCCCCTCTAGAAGTATATTGCAATTCGCCTCCTTATTGTAAAGTCACTGCCAACTTGTCACGAAGTCTAATCGAATAACTTGTTATCTAGTACTTTGGTAGTTTTTGACTGAATATCAAGACAGACTACTGTCGCCATAAACTTAGTCTCTCGGTATTAGAATCTCATCTCTTTATAGGGTCGAAAGGAGTATTATGTCAAACTGTGGCCATGTGTTAGTTATATTTCGCTATCTTGAAACGGAGTTCAACCTTTGAGGTCTAATAACGTTCAATGTAGAATCTTGCTAGTTTCTGGCTGAATATCAAGACAGACTACTATCGCCATAAACTTAATCTCTCGCTTTTAGAATCCTATCTCTTTGACGGGTCAAAAGGAGTATGAGGTCAAACTTCTGCCATGTATTACTCATATTCCGCCATCTTGAGAGGAAGTTCAATCTTTGGGGTCTAATAACGTTCAATGCCAGGGACTGTGCTAGTTTTCGTCTGAATATCAGGACATTCTACTGTTGCCAGGAACCTCATCTTTGTACATAAGCATCCAATCTCTTTGCATTGACGGGTGGAAAAGACGATGATGTCAAACATTGGCCATTAAATCTAATATGGTCGCCATATTTAGAGAAACAGAGTAACCTTTGGGATGTAATAAATTTTTTAGGACCTCGGTAGTTTTTGTGTGAATGTCAAGATATGTAACTGACACCTAAAACTTCATCTCTCTCAATAAGAATCCAGTATCTTTGACGGGTCAAAAGGAGTATGATGTCAAACTGTGGCAATGTGTTACTTATATTCCGCCATCTTGAAACGGAGTTAAACCTTTGGGGTCTAATAACGTTGAATGTAGAACCTTGCTAGTGTTTGGCTAAATATCAAGACAGACTACTGTCGCCATAAACTTAATCCCTCGCAGTTAGAATCCTAGTCTCCTCCGCAGCCGTTTTTTGGGATGTCACGCAACGTTGCGTGACATCCTAAAAAACGGCTGCGGAGGAGACTATTAGAATCCCATCTCTTTGACGAGTCAAAAGGAGTATGGTGTCAAACTTCGGCCATGTAATATTTATTGTCCGCCATCTTCAAAGGAAGTTCAACCTTTGGAATCTTATAACGTTGAATGTACTTTGACGGGTCAAATTCCTTTTGGGTGGAAGGGATTTGGGTCTGCGAATTTGGGTCTGCGAGGATTTACTCTCAGACCGGTTTGAGCTCAAGTTCTTCCGCCCCAGGAAATTCCTGCTTTTTACTTTTGCTTGTTTGAGTTTTTTTAAAATCTTTTCCCCCCTTGTTCGTCCTGTTTTGGCTTCTTCGTTTTGTCTTCTTTATATCGTAGAATTCCGAAAGTAACGGCTCCCGTTACTTCGGATTTAGCAGCAAAAGGAGCCTCTACTTTCGGGTAGCCGTTGCTTACGGGTAGCTGTTACTTTCGAATGGTTAAAAAACGTTTGTACGGTAACAGTCGTTTCAGGCAAGGCGGACGCGTATCATGAAATAAAAAGTTCCGTTTATGTATGTTACTAACGAACCACGTAAACAAAGCAGACCGTATAAACAAAAAATGCTCCAAATGTTGGTGCTGCGAGGCGACAGTAAAACGGTCGCATTATAACACAATGCAACCAGTTACACTATTATTTGACTCTGTTGCCAGACAAATACAGCTCATAAATCATAGTTTCAAGAAACATTCAGTTAAGTTCGAAATGAAATCACAAACAACTCTTCAAGTTGTTCAGTCCTACAGTCAGGCTGTTCCATCCACATTGCGCTTGAGATCAGAGAGTTTTGCTTTTTAGTGACTTCTTCAAAGGGCCGCTACTTTTGGGCGGGTCGTTACTTTCGGGGAGACCATTACTTTCGAGTTTCAATTAGCCTGCGTAGCGAGCGTTCCCGTACGAAGAGCTTTTCCGCATTCTGGCCGTGCGTAAACTGGAGCGACAGCAAAAGCTCGACGAAGCTGGGGGTGGTGCTCTCGCACCAATTTACGCGCGGCCAGAATGTGGAAAAGCTTCGTACGGGAACGCTTGCTACGCAGGCTAATTGAGACTCGAAAGTAATGGTCCCCCCGGAAGTCCGTTCGGAAGTCTCAATAGGAAGGTAAAAAAATAGCGTTACTTTCGAGGAGCCGTTATTTTCGGGGGGGGGCTGTTACTTTCGGAATTCTACGGTAGTTTTAATTTCTGCCTTTTTCGATTTCAGAACCTTTCATCCCCAAACCTCTTGTCCGAAATTATGGTTTTCATTGGCAAAAATTACAGAAATTGCGCAAAAGAGAGGCATGCAGAGAAAAAAAGGAAATTCCTTTACGATATCTAGACTTACGTTTTATCGGAGGAAAGCTACATTTTATATTCTTGAGCCAACTAAGTTTTTCGTAGAAGAGACATATTTAGGTGTATCATTTTAGTCTTTATTAAAAACTGGATCATTGGATAATGCTTTTCAAGAGTTTTCATTGGTTTAGGGGATATGAGCCATTATACTTTGCTCTACAAATATGGTAACCGTACGCGTGACTTTTTGAGGCGTTTTATTTTGATTTTAGTTTAGTTTTCTATATCTTGGCATGGGGCGATTTTTACCTTCGAGAGAACGCAGTTCTAATCGGGTAATGCAGAAAAATGCGAGTTTTGTAATTTCCCCCGCCCCCCCCCAAAAAATTTAAATACTCTTCAGGGGCGAATGAGTTCATCTAGATCTCCATGTTCGTCCATGTGCTTTCTTTCGAGTGTTATGGCATATTGCGGACTTTCGAGTGTCGAGGCAGCTTATTGTGGACTGTAGCGGATAAGTTAATTGTTTAAAGTTCGAAGTCTGTGTTAATAGCATTTAAAATCCTTGCAGACATGTCTTCACGAAATGTGTGCGACTTTTCGTACGGACAGTGTAGTTTGACTGCGTGTTGTGTACCCTCTTCTCTTTTTAACCCGACCAAAACCAAAGCTGCTTTCTGCTGAATAAGTCAAAGGAGGAAATGTGTAGTTTCACTTCGCTGGCCTAGATTTCTGTGCGCAAAATATGTAACATAAAGCCAACGAAAGTGTTTACATAGGAAAAGAGTTCAACTCCCACAGGATTGCTTTGGTACAAAAACATGTCCTCTGTTTCATTGTTTCGGAACGCATTCAAATCGCAGTAAAAACGAAAACGTTCTCAGTTCTCATGTCTAATGAAACTATTATCATTCCAAAATTACAGTGGAGACCCGATTTTTGAACCCCAAGGGAAACGAAAATTCGTTCGAAAAATCGGATATTTCGAGAAATCGGGGTAAAATTACAGTGTTCAACTGAGGAGAGGGAAACGACTTTTGTTTCGAGTTATCGGGAGGTTCGAAAAAATGAGGATTCGAGAAATCGGGATTGCACTGTAGTTATTTTAAAACCTCGGATACTCCATAACCTCGATCGACAGCCTAGTAAAATCAGAAACTTATAAAAGAAACAGTAAATTCTTCCTCGTACGAGAAGTTCAAGAAAATTGTCTTAAGTCTAGGTCTTAGTTTGCTTTGATTCTGACATTGTTTTATTGATGGAAGTAATATCCATCTCGTCGATTTCCAAGATACACATTTAAACGATATATGACTTTTTTCAAAACAGATTTCCTGGATCATTAGAGCATTTGACCTTAACTCCGTTTTGACAAGGCAAACGTCAGAGAAAGTAGCCTACAAGCCTGGC